TTCTTTTTTTTTTTTTTTTTTTTTGCTATAGGGCGCGTGCACTCGCCAGACAGACAGACAGAGACAGAGAGACAGAAAGCGAGAAATCACCCCCAGAGGGGATGGCCACACCGCAATCCTTTCTCCTCCATTCTTCTCTTGGGATCATAGGCATGCACGCACACACGCACACGCGCCCAGCATGAGTTTAAGCCACCAGGTCTGGGACTTGAACCGCAGTCGACTACATGGGAGTCCAGACACATAGCCATTATGCTAACTGCTGGTCCCAAAATGAAAAGAATTTTTAAAAGTTGTCTCCAGCCCAAGACCACCTCCATGAACCATGTGACCGTCCCTTCACCCACACCCTCCTGCAGAGACTTCTGTTTGTTTTACCTCCCTAACTGATCTGCTTTGCGCCCGGGGGTCATGCAGTTGGGGGGGGGGCAGGAGTCCCTGCCCCGATGGCTCCTGGCCTTTTCCCAGGAGGGGGAGGGACAGATTACAGTTGTCACCTTCCCTGGTGGGAGGTGGAGTGAGCCTGTCAGGTGCCGCCTCCCCCACAGACAGGCTGTACATGCGCCTGGCTCTTGCCCCAGCCTCGTGGGACCCTTTCCTGAGTAGGGACGCGCATTCTATCTTTCAGGCAAAAAGGAAAACCCAAGAGGAAAAGCAAGTACAAGATCCTGGATGCTACAGATCAGGAGAGCCTGGAGCTGAAGCCGGCGTCCCGAGCAGGTGCGGCCCCGGGAGCTGGGGCCGTCCTTGTGGGGTGTACTCTCTGTGAAAAGCTGCCATCACCCCTTCCCCCAGTGTGTCGCTAACAGCTGTCTGTGCTGGAAACGCACTTTGTCCCTCACCTGGTACAGGCTGAGGCGGTGGCGCGTGGTGGCACCTCTGCACAGGCCAGCTCCAGGACCTGCTGCTCGCGCTCCTCGTGCTGCTCCACTTGGCGGAGCGCCTGGCCCCTTGCTCAGCCCCTCAGGGCTCCTGGCTGCTGCTTAGCTTGTCAAACCGCCCCTCGTAGTCAGGGTCCATGTCTCCTGCTTGGTTAGTCTGTCCTTTCTGGGCAGAGACAAGATCAAAGCCAGCACCTGCCAGCCTCCCTCTCCCGCCAGCCTCCCTCTCCCGCCAGCCTCCCTCTCCCACCCCTCTCCTCTCGCTGTCACTGGGCAGACCTGGCAGTGCAAGAGCAGGCAGTTCCAGAGCAGAGCATGCTGCCAGCAGGAGTCCAGGGTACGTGGTGGGGAAGGGGAAGTACAGGTTATTTAGGAGTGAGGTTCAGGGGAGATGGAGGCCCTGGTCCTTTTGGCAGTGGAGCCATGGAAATGGGGAGACAGAAGCCGGGCAGAGGTTGGGGCGGGTGTCCTTGGATGGGGGTTCCAGAGCACATCCATAAGCAGGCACACAGTGGACGTGGGTAGGGGGAGTGTCTGAGGAGCCAGGAGGGGGCTGGAGGTGAGGAAGAGGTGGGGGCGCTGGGCTGAAGTGATGAGGATGGTCTCCGGAGCAGGGGTCTGAGCGAGAGGGAGCGAGAGCCCGGGAAGGGACCACCTGGTACCCAGAACCAAACATGGAGCTGGCCAGGGCCTTCGGGTAGACCCGGCCTCGGTGGCAGGTCCAACCCAGAGCGGGCTGGGAAGTGGCTGGGGGCAGCAGGTTGGGCGAGGGTGCAGGTGCAGGGCAGCTCTGGTGCTGGTGGACACAGCTGCGCGTGCCGCAGAAGCCGGGAAGGTGGCTGTCCCCAGGTGCTTCCTGGTGAGCTGGCTGGGTGAACCTGTCCCTCAGAGGGTCTCCCTGCAGGAAAGACCTCTACGGGCCACACCCAGCTTGCCCACACAGGGCAGCGGGGACCGACCCTGGAGCTCCAGGGAGGCCGCTGCCCACGCCCAGTCGGCGCTCCAGGCAGGCGGCTCCTGCTCCCCGGCCCCCGCGCCCAGCCGTCGGGAGGGGAGCCATTCCAAGAGATGTCCTTGGGGGCCACTGGCCAGGGCTCATGGACACTGCGGAAAAGAGCCTCAGAGCCAGCGCCCCCCGCCCCCGACTGCTCGGCGGTGGGACCAGCCCCGCACCAGCTCCTCGGCCGGGGTCAGGGTGCTGGCCCGGAGGGTGCGTGTCCAACGCGGGGCTCCCCGTCCCCTGCAGGTACCAAGCAGAAAGGCCCGGCGCTGGGCAGCAGCCTGATGCACTCCGAGTCGGAGCTGGACAGCGACGACGCCATCTTCACGTGGCCGGACCGCGAGAAGGGCCGGCTCCTGCACGGCCAGAACGGCTCGGTGCCCAACGGGCAGACGCCGCTCAAGGCCAGGAGCCCGCGGGAGGAGATCCTGTAGCCCCGTCGGTCCTCAGGGTAGGGGTCGGCAGTGCCAGGCCAGGGCACAGCCGCGCCGCTTCTACCTCCACGTCTGCGGCGCCGGCCGGCAGCCCTGGCTCCATCCTTCCCCGGAGCCAAACGAAGCTGTGAACGACCTTTCTTCCTCTGACCTCCAGGCAGGCCCCTGAGAGCCTCCCCTCCGGCCTCCTGTTTCTGCACTCCCGGCCCTTCCCGGGGGCACCCGTTGCTGCTCCCGGAGCTCCTGCACTGGGCCGGCCACACCCCTTCCCGCGCTGCCTCCGCCTGGGCTCAGACCCAAGCACCACCAGCCCCGCCCGGCGCCGCCCAGAGCCACCCGGAGCCCACCGGCCCAAAGCCCAGGGGGCTGTGCTTCGCTCGGTTGGAGCACGCGGCCTCAGGGCCCCAGAGCAGCGGCCTCTCCTCCCCGGCACAGCAGGGAGCCCGGGATGGTGGTGCAGACGGTGTCAGCGAGGCCGGCTGTCTGCAGGGAGGGCCCGCCTGCCAGGTGGCGGGTGGAGGCGCCGGCGTTGGGAGCGGCCAGGCTGGACACTGCCTCCCCTGCTGCTCGACCAGTACGCGGTCCCCAAGGGGACAGCCACACAGGGACTGGAAAGCTGTGGCATGAGAGCGCATGTGTGCGACTGCCCCACAGGTCCTGCCCTCCACCCTGTCCTTGGTGTCCCTGCATGTGTGTGAGTGAGCGCGAGTGCATCACCTGTGGGGCTGTCGGCTGCCCCCAGGCAATCTTGACTGGAAGGACTTGGAGCTCCTGGAACACATCCTGAGTCCCTGGCACCCGGTGCCCCTGCCCCGCCACTGGTCCCTCAGCCATGGTACCTGGGTGTTGAGATTGGCGGTTTTCGGGGAGTGACTTTTTAAAAAGAAACTTAACAATTTCTACTACTGCACTACAGTCTGTTGATGATTAAACATGCTATTTAATTGTGCACGTGTGCTGGGAGCGGGCTTCATGGGACGGCGCTCCCCTTCCCCCACCCCAGCGGGCCTGGGAGCCCCTGGCCTCTGTAGGGAGTCTAGGCCTGGCACTGGCAGCTGTGCAGGGTCCCTGCTGCCCTTTGGCTTTGAGGGAGGGGAGCTTCTGTCCATGCAGAAATGACTCAGGTCCCCTGTGGCCCAGCTGGGGGGCATGGGTATCCCAAAGTCCAAGAAATGCCCTGTAGAGTTCCTGGCCAACTGCTCTTCCCTCCTGGGCTCCCACGGAGGCAGGGGTGGGTGACGGAGCCCAGGCGTACCCGGGGAGCCTGGCTGGCAGGTAGAGTAGGAGGCGGCCTGGTGTCCGTCTTGGACTCCTAAGAGAAGGGGAGAAGGGCCTGAGCCGGCAGCGGGGCCACGGCTCTGTGCACAGAGGGTCCACAGGAGAGGCTCTGGATTTACAGACCCAGGGGCTGAGGCTGAGGTGACCGGAGGCTCATTCCCCGGGACAGCAGAGCCCAGGCCAGGCAGCGCAGTGCGGCCAGGCCCATGCTTCTCCAGCTCTAGCCTGAGGTCTGAAAACAGCCTCTGCTCTCCAGCCCACGGGGTCTGGGTGGGCACAAGGCTCTGCTTCCTAACGGGCTCCCTGCGGATGGTCGCAGGTGCTGGCCGGGCCACCCTGCGAGCCTCGGGAGCGTCTTGGCCGGGAGGCAGCGTGTGAAGGAAGGCAGGAGGTTCAGAGAAGGGAGCCGAGTCTGCCAGGGAGTGTGCTCCACGTAGGGGCAGGGTGGGACAGCTGCCCAAACTGCCACCGGGCAGATGGGCAAGTGGAGGGTGCTGGGGAGAAGCCAGATGAAAGGCAGGTGCCCGCTCCCCCGCCGCCTCGCTTCCAGATGACAAAGCCAAGGAGGAACAACGGCCATGCCATCGTAGCAAGGGAGTCAGGAACCCATCTCGTGAAGCTCGGAAGGACTAAACCCCCACCCCAATCTAGAACTGTGGGTGCTGCCCTGGCCCTCCACCAAAGCCTGTGTTAGGAGCTGAGCCTTTAAGGGCTGAAGAACTAGCCTCTGGGAAAAAATAAAATGCAAATTATACATGAAAAAAAAAAAGAGCAGGGAACCAGCAGTTAGCGTAATGGCTATGTCGCTGGACTCCCATGTAGTCAACTGTGGGTCGCGTCCCCGACCCAAAACTCACGCTGGGCGCGTGTGCGTGCGTGCCCAAGCTCCCGAGAGGAGAATGGAGGAGAAGGGATTGCGACGTGACCATCCCAGCTGGGGGGTGATTTCTCGCTTTCTGTCTGTCTCTCTCTGTCTGTCTGGCGAGCGCATGCGCCCTATTAAAAACCTCTCACAAAAAAAAAAAAAAAAAGCAGGCACCCGCCGGCGGGGGAGCCACTGCAGCTTGGGCGTGTGGTTGCCACCATCCTGGCAGGATGGAGACATGCAGGAGGGACTGAAGCGTGGCCACGCCCCGCTGGGATGCCTCACCCCCACCGCACCCCAAGAGTGCACGCACCCACTGGCAACTAAAAAAAAGTCATAGGGGCCAGCAGGTGGCATAGTGGTTAAGGCGCTGGGCTCCCACACGGTGAACTCCAGTTTGAGTCCTGGGCCTAGTGGCTTGAAAATCATGCTGGGTGTGTGTTTGCGTGTGCCCCAAATCCCAGGAGGAGAATGGAGGAGAAGGGACTGCAGCATGGCCATGCCTCCTGGGGGATCTCACTTTCCCTCTCTCTGTCTCAATGAGCACACATGCCCTATGGCAAAAAGCTTAAAAAAAAGAAAAGCCAGAAACATCGACATTATGAACGTGGCCAATCCACCATCACCATCACTTTTATCCGATATTTATTGCATTTCAAATTATTACTATTTTTAAAATTTGCAACAGGGACGGGACCAGCAGTTAGCATAATGGCTATGTTGCTGGACTCCCATGTAGTCGACCGCGGTTCGTGTCCCGGACCGGGTGGCTTAAAACTCACGCTGGGCGCGTGTGCATGCATGCCCAAGATCCCGAGAGGAGAATGAGGGAGAAGGGATTGCATGTGCTCTCACCAGAGAGAGAGAGAAACTGAGAAAGCGAGTCACCAGGTCCGGGAATCAAACCATGGTTAGCCATGTGGGAGTCCAGCCACCTTAACCACCAGACCACCTGCTGGCCCTATTGCAATTTTTTTTTACATAGATTTTTGCTATAGGGCGTGTGCGCTTGTTGGAGAGACAGAGATAGACAGAAAGCAAGAAATCACCCCGGGGGATGACCATGCTGCAATCCCTTCTCCAGTCTCCCCTCAGGATTTTGGGCACGCACACACATGCGCCCAGCATGAGTTTTAAGTTGCCAGGTCCGGGACTCAAACTGTGGTTGACTTTGGGAGTCCAGCGGCATACCCATTATTCCATCTGTTGGTCCCCCTATTGCATTTAAAAATCTAGTTGTCACCCCCCTGGCCCCCGTGGGATGTAGTCATAACCACAATGCCTTCATGTGTCCACCCTGTCGGCTTCCCGCACTTTCACACCCACGTGCCTGGCATATTTTGTTCAAGCTACCAGGGCCAGGACTCGAACCTCAGTCGCCCGTGTGGAACCTGACTCCCTTAACCACTAGGTCACCAGGCTAGCCCCAAAGGTTATATTTTTATCTCTTTCAGAGAGGAAGGATTTTCCCCAGATAACTAAAAGAGCTTTATTTGCAGGGGAGCAGGAGTTTAATCAAATAGTGCAGACCCCAGGGCATCGCCTGATTCTTCGATGGTGCCTCGGCTTCTCTTCACTGCAGCAGGGCAGAGCCAGCCAGAGAGACGGCCACAGCCCCCCCAGCGGCCACACTGGCAAGCTTGCCAGCACCCCGGGCAGTGACATGTTCGGTGTTCTTTCCATTCAGCTTGTTGGGCTGCTTGTCCGCCTCAGGCCCACGCTGTCCAGGATCTGCTTGATGTCCTTGGCGCTGGGGGAGGTGTCGGCCCAGGGGCGGGGGGCCCAGGGGCGGCCAGCAGGTAGGAGGCGACATAGCACATCCCGAGGCAGCACAGCCTTCACCCCAGGCCGGGGATGCTGCGTGCGGCCCGGCCCAGAGGTGCCGCCACTGGCCTCGCCACTGCAGGGAGGCTGCCCCCCTCCACCTGCCTGCGCTCCTGGGCACCGCCCCACAACTTCTGCCCACCCACCAGGACACCACCAGATACATATTTTTTTGCTATAGGACGCATGCGATCATTGGAGAGACAGGAAGTGAGAAATCACCCCCTCAGGGGAGATAGCCGTGCCACAATCCCTTCTCCTCCGTCCTCCTTTTGGGATTTTGGGCACGTGTGTGCCTGACGTGAGTTTCAAACCGCTGGTCCACTGCACCACAGTAGACCGTGTGGGAGCCCAGCAATTTAATCCGCCACCTGTGGACCCCAAAAACGAAGAGTTTTTCACTTCCTATTCTACAAACAAAAAATTCCAAGGGCCTGGCGGGTGGCGTGGTGGTTTAAGGCACTGGACTCCCACAAGGCCAACTATAGTTTGAGTTCTGGACCTGGCGGCTTGCTTTTTCACTTTCTCTTTGTCTCTCTGGTCAAATTAAAAAAATAAATAACAAATAAAGATTTTTTTTTCTTTCTTTCTTTTTTTTTTTTTTTTTCAGAGTTTTTTCCTGTAGGGTACGTGTGCACTCGCCAGAAAGACAGAGGGAGTCAGAGTTTTAAGCCACCGGGTCCGGGACTTGAACCGCAGTCGACTACATGTGAGTTCAGTGACATAGTCATTATGCCAACTGCTAGTCCCAGCATATACTTTCTTACTACAACCACTAGGAAGGAAGTTTTAAAGAATGGGTATTTTTGGGAACCAGCAGTTAGCGTAATGGCTATGTCGCTGGACTCCCACGTAGTCAACCACGGTTCGCGTCCCGGACCCGGTGGCTTGAAACTCACGCCGGGCATGTGTCCGTGTGTGCTCAAGATCCTGAGAGGAGAATGAAGGAGAAGGGATTGCGGTGTGACCATCCCCTCTGGGGGGTGATTTCTCGCTTTCTGTCTCTATGTCTCTCTCTGTCTGTCTGGCAAGTGCACGCACCCTATAGCAAAAAAAAACTCTCAAAAAAAAAAAAAAAAAAAAAAAAAGAAGAGGCTCTGCCTTTTAAAAATCCCTGGGGCC